GGTTCCAAAATACTGCATATTCATCAAGGATTTTTTTGGAAAAGTGATGGAATTCGAGAGTGACATTCAGTAAAATTACCAGAAAGCTACAGCATCAGAACCGGTACGCTTTTCGTGCTTCCGGGTAGTTCTGAAGCATGCGGGTTTGTTTCTAGTAAGAACCATCCCGTGTTTTTGGTTTAGTCATGTGATGACCGTCCAACCTCCCCCTTCCTTCTGTCTAACGCCGATTTCAGTTGAGGTAATGCACAAATGAGGAGTTTGTGCATGTGCCTTGCAGCTGTTTGTTATGGCTTGTAGCCGATAGCAGCCTATTACTATAGTGTACTTATTGATTATGTATTATTACAAGCAATCTTTAAATTTGAATATTTGATTTGAATATTAATAACGTCACAGATAATAATGTTTTGCATGTTCAATGATTATTGTTCATTCGGAAGTTTCAGATTCATAGTCAGCAATCATCGGCCAGTGTATTCGAATATCACATATAAAAATCAAGCGACTCAGATCGTTCCTTTATATATATTTCACTAAAATATAATACCACAGTTGTTTCTCAGAGATGAGTGTTTCAATTTCGTCGCAATTCGATGCATTGATTGACAATTTTAAAAAGTCACCCCCTTTCTACCATTTCTCTGTGGCACTTCTTTCAATTGGTTAGTTATATCTTAGTTAATTTATCCATCTCATTATGATAGCAATGTGTAATGTTAATGAAACTCAATTTAAGACTAAACTTATATTATAGGTGCATTTGTGTCTGTATTCGAGTCGATATTCAACGTGTTCTCATTGAGTGCTTCACAGATGATGGTTTCATTTGAATTATGGCGATTGATAACGAGTGTTTTAGTTGAAAGGAATTTGATTTTGTTGATTTGGTCGATTTGTTGTATTCATATCACATCATCGTTGATTCTGCCAGTTTGGGGTCATTTCGAATTATTGAAATATTTTACAATCGTTCAGGTTCAACTTTTATCATTTTGTCTGCGGTATTTTAACAAATCTGATTCAATTTCGGATTTTCTCATGCAGTTTATTCATTTATTATTAATCATTGATACTGATTCAGTTAAAATCTAATGATATAATCCAAATCCATATAGATAAGTTCATCAATAGTTATCACGCTGATAGCGTTCCTTTCATATGTGGTTCACAAGAATTATACTTTATTTTATCATGTTCAATTGTATGGTTGTGCATCTATGTGCGCTGCTTCCTACGTTGCTATTAAACAGGTGATTTGTTTATTAGTTCATCAACTGATTCATTCTACATTATTACTATCATCACTGTTATTGCTGCTTATCGATGAATGATTCTATGAAAGGAGTAATTGGATGAGGTATTCAAGTTCACAGAAAAAAGTGGAGGTGAAATAATAATAGAGTATAGCCAGCTGTTTAGTACTAATTATAAGAAGTAAGTAGTTTCAGTTTCTACCAGACACAATCTTATTGAGTAGTCGGGTAGGTCGTCTCAAGAATAATCATCTACCAATCTTATCGTTATCGATCATAACGATCTTATCATTGATTGGTTTGGTTCGTTGGTCGGCCAGTTTACAAGTGGCACTTGGAATTCAACTGGGATGGGTCTATTTGCGTTTTTATCAGCCGCATTCTGATATGGATTTGGATGGTGCGCAAAAAGATGATGCTTCTTATGGAGATTACAGTGACCACTTCGCCTGGGCAACGTTTCTTTTGTTCTATTATTGATATTTATTTCCATATATATCCATTTTATTTCGTTGTTAATCAATCACAGAGTATCATTATATTTTAGTATCNTGTAATCATGATGAGTATCATCTGATTAAGTGAATGCGCTCGTAAAGTTATAATTTCATTTCATTTTGAAATCCATTTAGTTGTTGCGATATCAGTTATCATTTCTGGTGATAAATTAATCAATTAATTAAGGTTGTTCCCATCAAAACTACAGCCAATGATGAGTGTAATTTCTGGTGTGGTTTTCTCAACATTGATTCGACTGAAAATATGTAAGCCACTTGTGAGGCATATTGATATAACAAAACTGGACTCTGTCAGTGTGATTCTACCAAGTTTACAGGCCAAAGATACTGAGAGGCGACGGTATTATTTTTATTTATTTGAAGATGAAGATTCAATTTAAAAGAAAATGTTTGTAATGTAGTTGATGGTGTGTGTAATTCAGTGTTTACGAACATGAACAAATGATAACTTCAGTCAGAAAGCATTACGCGATCTAACGGAACGATTGAGTCGTACGAAGCGAGTCAGTGATGCAGACAACACGGTGTCGTGGTCGGATAACGACGACGAGACGTCATCCGATGTCATTTCTCCACCAGCAACTGCCCAGATCGACTCATCTCAAACAGCACCACTCCGTGGAAAAGAAAAGCACGAACCCTTATCAAGTGCACAACCTTCATCCTCTCATCAGGTTATCAGTTGCCACTTATCATTCCTCGAGAATATATTAATTGCTGCATTCGCAACTAATAACTGGTACTTATAGTTAATTTTGTAATTGTTAAACATCATGAACCACGGATTTTTCTCGTCGTGTTAATGGCACTCTCATATTCATCAGTATGATTACTGATGTTAATTTTATTGTT